CGGCGGATCCTTTAACGGTTGAATCACGCCGTCGCGCAGCTGATTGATGACTTTAGCATGGTATCCTTCTTGAAGCTGGACGCACAGAACGAGGATAGTGTTGCAGGAATTCTCAGCTATATTGATGATGCTATTCAATTTCATGAGGCCCAGGAACCGAGAGAACCAGCCGACGAGCAAGAATATGACTTGGAGTGAGAGTATTGCGTCCGTCTATTCACAACTTCTAGATAACTCCAAAACTAAAGGAAGAGGTCGAACTCCAAATTCGTGTCCGATAATACCTCAGTGGCTAGATCATACGAAAGGTTGAAAAGCTCTTTTCGTTGATAGCGGCCACCATATACACCCCCGCTTCCCACCATGATACATAAATGGATAGCAGAGGATAAGGATGATTGGTGATGATAGCTAGATATTGCTGCAGGAGGTTGTCGCACTGCACGGAGCAGAATCACGAAATGTCTCATAAACTGAAAATGTACCGTTAAATAATACAACCGTGCCAATAGCAGGCATGTCCCGATACTTCGACATGATTTGTCCAAGCATCGATGCAACTGCTTTAATGATCCAATTTTGCCCGTTCTGATTAGGGACAAAGTTTTCCCTCTCATCCCATACGTATGTGTCTATCTCCGCCCCCTCCCTGCAGAGTTATATCGAGACCGACTTCCACTTTTCCCAGAAGCATCATTCTCGGCTAACACCCGCTGTATAAACCCCTCGAGCAAGCCCAGAATCCAAGCTGCATCTTGTGATGCCTTCCCCCATCCAACCGTATACACATAATACCCGCCACCTAGGATCGAGCCCCAGAATACCAACCGGAAGAAAAGAATGATCCAAAACGTTATGACCCGCCGTGCGTAATCCAGGACTTTAAGCGAGATCACGAGAATGATGAAAAGGATCAGGATTGAGTAGAGATCGGGCGGGGAGTTGAGGAGGGTGTTTATAGGAGTGATGATGTACGGTTCGGCATACGCGAATCGAAGTGTGTTAAAATAGTCATTGGCTGCGGTGACGTAGGAAGCTAGCTGGAGATACAGAGAGGGCGGAATGCCCTGGAGTATGGTGTTCAAGACAGGGATGAGGTATTCTAATATGGACACAGGAGGTTAGCTCGGTATGGAATTGTTTCTTAAAGACGCAAGTAGGCTGCGCTAACCTTCAATGAGCTCCATTCCTGCATTTATATCACATATACGTTGTTAACTGGATTTTATACCAATCACAATGGATGCAAAGACGCGGATTGCCGATTGCAAGCCAAGGAGTCACAGAAACAGCTGAGTAAATAATCTGACCAGTTTTATCATGAGAAGCTGGATCACAGCAATAAGAAAAAAGTCTATTGTATCACTGACAAAGAAATCTCTGTGTACTCTGTATAGATGTTATAATTGTGTTGACACGACCACAATGGTAAACAGACTGAAAATGCCAAGGTCTTAGTTAGTTCACCAGTCAAGCTTGTTTTGGGAGACTGCTCCTTATATAGCGGACGGAAAATCCAGGTAAATAAGAGAACACATTCCAGCATTGGTGGTTTAGTGGTAAAATCCGTCGTTGCCATCGACGGGCCCCGGGTTCGATTCCCGGCCGATGCATTTTTGTTTTCCTACTCCCCTTCTTTTTTTATGATGGAAAAAGCTGCAATGAAAACTAGAGTTTGTAGTCGGACCACTCCACGAGTCCATACCTACAGTCGACTCCCAATAGGTAATTGGATGATTATATGATAGATTTTTAAGTATCTAAACTATGTGATATCTGGTCTACTACATAACTGATCGGGCTAGAGTGTAAAACATAACTAGCAGCTTTTTAACTACCAATTGAACGCTTCTTCATAATATTCAATTCCTCTCCGCTCCTTTTGTAGCAATTCGCGAACTGCGATTCTTGTCTCATCTGACATCGCCGCAGGTCCACAAACTAGCACTGCAGCTCGCATATTAGTATTCGATGAGCCCGCCTCAGTTTCGCAAGAGTTACACAAGGCCTGATTTAATATCTTCCTGATATTTGGACGGCCATGCTTGATTGGTATGAACGTAGGGGCATGTTGTCCAGAGAGAGTCTCGTTCTCTTCTAAAAGTAGCCGGGTGTTCTCGTCCGGTTCCTGGATATTTGTTGAAGAGTTTGTAGAGCGAGAAGTCGAGTAGAATTCTATTTTAACGCCCAATTTACTCAGTCGGCAAACCGTTTCGGTTTCGAGGAGCTCGTTGAAAAGTCCAGATTGCCGGGAGGCGAGGACCAATGTTATACTTTTCGTTCGTACCAACGGAGCTGCTGGCGAATGAACTCCAACATGTGTTTGTTGCGAATCGAGCGACTGAGAGCGCCTCATGTGGTCCTCTATATGCGGCCATACTCCTGCAAAGCCAGCTCCGCCAGCTATCAAGACAACATTCTCGAAATTATATAACGGGATCGAAGTACCGTACGGCCCTTCAAGTAGAAATGTAGTTTCGATTTTGTTCCCTTCAGAGTGTATGCACTGTGATCGGAGCCTGCGCGTCCACCCGTCAAAGGGCCGAATCCAGAAAACAAGGGTGTATTTGGCTGGATATCCACTTTTTCTTTCTTCAGAATGAACAATCTCAGCCCCGCTAAATCCCTTATTGTCCGTAATCTGCGACCAACTTCCGACTGTGAATGGATGACTTTCATAACCTCTCCATCTCAGCGGTTGGTATATATAGTAAAACTGGCCAGGACGCGGAGCTAAAGCTCCAGATCCCGGGGTTATTTCAAGCCGGATGAGTTTGGAGGCGCTATCGTAGGACGCTGTACCTTTGGAACTGAGAAGCGCCTCGCCGTTTTGCCGGATATAGAGATTGCAATATATCAATCTGATGATGCGGACAATTCTGTCTAATAGCCAAACAATCACTACTGGCCAAAGATACCTATCGTATCCACCAGTAAACACGCTTGTGTGACTATTTCTTGATATTAGCGTGGTTGTCACTAAGACGTGCATAAGAAACAATAGATGCTTACATGAACAAACCAACGAGGACTACCGCTGAGAGGGAGATATGGACAAGAAGGAAAACCTCGTAATAGTTGCGTCGAAGCCAGATGGATGAGAATCCAAGAAGAAGACCCATTCCGATTGTTCCCTAAAGGGAATTGTTAGCGGAAATCAACGGCGCAAGGCCCATAGGGCACATTAAGGTTAGCGCATGCACCTACAACTGCACCCATATACCACCAGGCGGATGGCCAATAGGCTAAATACGATCCATCTTAAAGGATACGCTTTCAGCTCTGTCAGATCTTCAGTAGAAAAGGTCGAATCTTACCTCGTAAAGTTAGCACGGTATATCCTACAGAATGGATAATTGCTTGTATTGTAGCAACTCTTGCAACAGCACGGTGAAACAGGTTAAATGTCCCAAAGCTCCAGCCCGTTGCCCAGAGGAAAGGATTGTTTCTCCCCCCAAATAACCATAAGAGCACAAGGTTGGCATAGGACATTATCCCTGTTCTATCAGAAAGATAACGCCACACTTGGGTGGAAATGTCGTCCCAGCTAAAGTGCATCATGTGTCAGATCGGCTTCTCTGCTTGACCAAAATGGAAAGCGCGGGAAAAAAAGGACAAGTCCACTTACTAAAGATTTCCTCTGAAGACATCGTACCCAACAATTGTGAGAACCATGCTCAGAAGATAAAAGGAAACAATCACGAGAGCCTCGATGCGAGTGGGAATCGTGCACCAGTAAAGGAGTCGCTGACGATAGTTTCCAATAACGGGAGGAAGTATCAAATAGACTCTGATCCAATGGCGGATATTGACAAAAATCAAAGGAAAATGTCGGGAATTTCGCTTTGATAATTGTTGTCCTTCTGGGTCATAAAATGTCCAAGGAGATAATCCCTCCGCTGAGAAATATTCATATAAACGATTGAGGATGCCGCAAAATAAAACAATACCCCAGAACCAGTATGACGCATTTCTGTGACCGATGTTAGGACGAAAGCAGAAGAAGATAGTCATATAAGAGAGATAAAGATAAACTAACCCAAATGCATGATGCGCCCAAGTTTCAAAAGCCCAAGCTCTCTATAAATTAGCAGCCTTAAATCAGTGCCCAACAAGTGGTGTATGTAGTCCTTACGTTCGTCCTAAACGCCCTCCAAAAATAATCGTTTGAAATAAGAACCGGTTCAAGCAGCTGTATCCCTTTATTCACCTCCCCAAACTCCACCATCCTCAACCCAGCAATATATTCATCAGTCAGCTGTGGCTCCACATTCTTGTATGGCACCCGTTTCAAGCCTTGTCTTTCGCAATCACCATCCAAAACGCGCAACCCTTCTTGAATTTCAAAAGGGGCGCAGTATACCTTTGCACCAGCGTAAAGTGAGTAGGTACGAAGTGGATTCACGCAGACATCGACTATATAAGGAGAATTAACGGAGCCAGCAAATCGGAGACGAGACAGGGCCTCCGCAATGGAAATCACACAACGGGCAGACTCCGGGATGTTATCTGCATTAGATACGCCGGCGAAAAGCGCAATGAATAAGGGAATTGTGCGCATGTCTTTTTCACGAGGAAAACTCGAGGAGCAGGCCGAGTCTGGAGCTGTTCTAGGGCAAGGAGCTTATAGGACTAGAAACGTATAGCGAAGGTCGAGAGTACTTCAAGAATCTAGCATTTTCACTAGAATATCAACCGTAAAAAAGGGCGCGCAAGAAACAGCCTGTCGACGTGAATCCAAAATGCTCACAGCCCTGGTGTCAGACCGGCTACCACCCTGAAAGCCGTCAATTTCTTGAGCCCGGAAGACTTGACACAAGGCTGTAACCTAGAGGTAGTTTTTTTGTGAAAATTTTGGAACGTTTTGCGCTTGCGGCACTGTAATCCCCGGAGAAGAAGAATCTAGGAATGAACTAATGAAAGAAGCACTGCAGGAAAAGAAGGAAAAGAGGGAGAGAGAGCAATGCTTCCATCCCCGGTACGAGAATCGGATCAGATAATGCAGAAAAAGTTCCGCGGGGGGGTTCCACTTCACACCTTGGCCCCAACAAGGACTTGACACCACTCTCGCCCAAGAGTCAGCCGAGAATGAAGAAGGATCTCGTTCCCCGGCAACACTGCCCGCTACAAAGGCTGCATGCATGTTGACTGCAAGCAAATAGATTTGGGAGAAGTATTTGGAATATTAAGCCGGTGTTTTCGCGGCAAGAAAGGTCACCACTGAAGGCAGTTGATGTTGGATGTTGTTAGGTTGAGTTTAGGTTTCACGCTAAGATCATCTGATAACTTTGATTCCATCTGATAATTCTGCGTGGTCGAGATGAACCACAGATCTCAATGCAGGCAGGCAATAATCATCAATCTATCCCGAAGGCTTGAAGAAGAACAGCCTTTTGGACATAAATGAAGTAAAACTCAACTCGCTTTGCAGTTAGGCACTGGCCATTCAAGCGTCTGTCATCTAGCGAACAATTCAGAATGAAGCTCAAAAGTAAAACAGAGCCTGATCAGAGAAAAAAAATGTACAATACAAAAGTAGGGTCCATAGCCCTAGAGTGAATAAAATAAGGTGGGACACAATCCAGGTGTCTGTAGGATCATACCAATCCTGGTATCAAACTCCACTGATGCATAAAAATGTCACCAAACAAAACCCAGCTCTGAACAATATGTTGTAAGTAGAAAAGAAATCAGAGAAAATGCAACCATAAACCCAGTATTATTGTACATGAGAATGTGAGCCCTCACTCCAGCCAGTAGGAAAGCCCCACGGATGGGGAAGTGGCTTAAAATTAATAGGCTGTTCAGCAGTTGGCATGGATTAACACCTGAACGGTTATGCCAAGCATGTTTGACATAAATTAGAAAAGAATATTTGCCTGGATTAAACGAAAGGCGAAATTGAGGATGGGGCGATTAGTCGAAATCGTCGAACTAAAAAATGATGAAAGGGTTCGCTGATTATTGGGTAAAAGAGTAGTTTTTCGAGTGACGAGGAAATTCGGGTTTCGCATGCGGCAGTTATGGTAAACGTCAACGTTCATATCATCATAGGCTACAGATAAGGAGTTAGGGAATGATCAAGCGTCGCGGTTGTTGATTTGCTCGAGAATTTGGGCCTGAAGTTTCCTTGTTTGGCGAAGCGCTTCGTCTCTGTTGAAAGCGAAAAGTTAGACATCAGCCTGCGGTATACAGCGTTGATAGAATGCTCGAGGGGTTATGTCAAAGAAAACGAAAGTAACCAACCTATCAGTTTGAAGTTCAAAAACTTCAATCTGCGCCTTGTTCATTTTGCCCACAACCTGCTCCATTTCTTTATCCGCATCACGCAAAGCCTTTTCAAGTTCCTTGACTTTCACTTCAAGGTCTGCAACATGCACAGCTTGATTTAACGCGATACCAGGCCCGCTGGTAGTGACCTGGAGGCGCGGGGATCGCGGACCGGAGAATGGCGAGGTCGGAAGCAGAGGGGACAACAACGCAGGACTGCGTATTCCATTTCTCGCGCGGAACAGTTGCGCGTTATGGTTCTCTTTTAGAACTGAGATTTCCTGTTCGTGTTTTGCCATTTCGTCCTCGGACTGCTGTTGTGCAAGTACCAAAGTGTCCTCAAGGAATTTGAGTTTAGTTTGCATATCATTGATCCTTTCAGCTGAAGCTTTCTGTTCCTGTTCCCCTCGACCGATAGCCTGGGCAAGTCTGTTGCGGAGTGCGCTATTCATAGCAACTTGCTGGAGTACTTGGCTTATTAGGTCGTCTTCTGCCCCAGACTCTTTGGCAGAGAGTGAACGCTCGTGGCTACTCAACCGTAGTTGATTATATGCTTCTTCGAGAGATTTTGCTGTGGCCTGGAAGTCGGTTAGATCGTCAGCTAGACCATGGTCCGCAGGATTGACAGCATGCTCGAGCAGAAGTGCCCGTAATGAGCTCGTCTCTTGCTCTGCTCGATCAAGGTCCATTTTTAAACCGGCTAGGCCTTTTTCGCATTGCCATTTTTGCTCCAAGGCGTCGTCTGCACGACGTCTTAGGATATTGATTTCTTCTCTTAACGTTCCGACCTCCCGTTCATATCCTCGTCTTCGGGGTGTGTCCGATTGCCTGTTGCGGTTTATTTCCGCTTCCAGTATTCGGACACGTTTTTCGTGTGCTTTCGCCTGGTACGCTTGCCACTCAAGCAGGCTCTTAACTGTTTGATGAAGAGCGTCCCGTTGCATTTCAACATCTTTCACTTTATCTGCCAATGATTCTCGGAACTCGCGGTCTTTACCAATTATAGAGCTCGGGCGGGATAGGGATCCAGACCTTGACAACCCAGTTGGTCGGCTTGGCGGAATTCGCGCAAGAGAATTCGACCTTGAGAGTCCAGCCATTCTTGCAGGCGGCTCTCCATCTTCTTCGGCTATAGAATTGAAACGAGATTGAACGGGCTGAATCTCGGCAGTCATCTTCCGGCTTTGACTTAGGAGGGAATTCTCATTTCGAAGAACCTGGATCTCTTGCTGCATGCGAGCTTCAAGCTGATCTCGTTCATTTCGATTTTGCTCTAATTCAACTCTCATCGCGGTGAGCAGGTCTTCAAAATTGTCTTTTAACTGTCTTTCTTCGGTCAACCGTCGACGCGTATCCTCTAGAGCAGCTTCAAGCTCCTTTGCTCTGGCGGCTGCGTTTGAGGCATCCACTTTCTCCCGCCGGAGCTGTGCAATAACAAGCTGTTAGAACCCGTCACACTAGTAAGGGATACACAACGGGACTTTCATACCTGGTTCACTTGACCTTCTAAAATCTGTACGTGAGACTCAGCAACTTGTCTACGGGACCTCTCTTCTTGGACTTTCTGAGACAAATCAACTTTTAGCTGAGCTCGTTCCTGCTCTAATGAACGTTTCATTTTTTCAATATCTTCCGTCCTGGATATGCCTGCGTCACTTAGGGCGTATTTTACGGAACCGTAGCCCGAATCGGAGAAATAGTCACTGCCCCGATGGTTTGCATCCGGCAGGTTCATTTCAATCTGCAATCGTTCGACCAAGTCCTCCAATTCCATCTCTCGCCGTATTGAACCTGCCAGTTCGCAGCTGATCTCCCGGAGTTCGGTTTCCAATTCTGCCAGCTTCGAGGTTACGGCGTGGTCAACAGGCATCGTCTGTGCTCTGTACGGCGGAAGTTTAGGAGACGGAGCGGCAAATGAATCCCGCGACGGGAATCGTGATGATTGAGCAGACGGCTGGGTAGATGCAATCATCGGGGATGGCATCGGCGATAGAATGGAATCGGATATTTCCGTGCTGTTTGATTCGGTTCCAGGAGAGGTGGCATTTTTCCAACCAAAAAATGAAGTTATCCTGTTGCCTGGGGTTTTGGGGAGTTGTTTATTATAATCGTTGGAACCGGATGACATCGTGCGAGAGTTCAGATCGATTCGTAAAGGAGGCGGCCGATTTGAAGGCGGATGTAGCGCCATCGTAACAGATCTTTTGTGGTCTTTCTCCTGCCGTATAGCAGGATCTTGGTTGCTGGTTGGTATTACCGGCTGGCTAGCAAGACGAGTATGTACGGGATTTTCCAGGGAGGAGACATTGACGGCTCTGGTGTTGGAAACTTCTGGTATTGGAAAGACTCCTAGGGAGCCGTGGGGCGTATGTAGAGGGGTCTGACCGTGGGGGAACCTGCTTACAACCGCGAACGAGTCAGCGCCTCTGTGATGATAGAGATGGGGTTCAAGGAGCATAGGTAAGAGCACTAACTTGTCAAGGTCTCTCACAGTAAACGGTTCTGCTGGCGGATATATTGGCGAAGTTGTCTTGTTTGCGGAGTTGATTATGGCGGCGGAAGAGAAAGAGGCGGTGGTAATAGTAGAAGAAGCGAGGGGCGACTGAGAATCGCCGGTCTTGCTCGTCAAAGGAGCGACATGTGGAGGAAGCGGTTTCCTGCGGATGGGAGACGACGCGAAGCCAGGGCTTCCAGGCGACCGAGGATAGGAGAATTTTTGGGATTGTAGACTCCTGAGCGAGTCTCTCGACTGAATCGAAGTCGCGGCGGTAACTGACGATCGCCCGACTGACGAAACCGAGAAGGCGCCTGGTGAGTCTAGAGAAGGGGGCATGGTCATCCCCAGGAGATGGTGGTTATAGCCCAGATCAGGGGGAAAGTTGTCGAAATGCCAGTCATTTGAAGTTAGCAGTCAAAGGTTTGGTGCCAATCGGAAATGATAGGCAAGACTATTGACTTAGCGTGCAGCGGGAAGGCTTGTGCTGGGACGGCGGAAAGACAATCAGCGTCCATCGGCGCAGTCCTAGGTTAGGGGATCGTGCGAAACAATATGATGGATGACGGTGAAACTGGAGACCGGATGGCAACACGAGTAGTTATGATAGTAATTCTTCTTCACAAGGTTTACAGGCCTCAACCACATTCACCTTGTTCCGGGAGATAGGGACATTTGGGATGCGGGAGAACCAGCAACAAAAATGGGCTTTGTCAACCTGCGTCCAGCAAGTGGAGCAGTGCGGGCATATATTTTCAGTCAAGCACCAACCCTGCACGCAAAGAACTAGCACAGGGCCTGCTCACCAATGGGCGCCTTGCGTTTGAAGCGAGCGGAATTCTCGCCTGAGGCCATGAACGGCTTGCGTGGTGGTGATTGGCAGGGCACCAGGAACTGAACGCGCAGGAACAAGCAACCCAGTGTACAACCGAGCCGCCCGTGCTGGATTCTGGACATGAGCGCAGGAAGGCAGTAGGCTCACCAGACAGTATCCTCACCCTGGATACGTACACACGACTGCCCATACGCTGCCAGTCCACACAAACCAGCCCGTCAACAGGAGTTCGCTGTTCAAGCGGTTACTGTAACTCAAGGCGTCTCGCGCCGGTAAAGTTACCAGCTTTCCATCCCACATTTAGAGTTTCAGGGGTAATATGCGGGCATGGGCCAATCAGCACTGGCCGCGCAGGGTGGGGATGCCCGCAATAGCTTTCAGTACGGGTCCAGTACCACTCGAATACGCGCTCCTTCAGACGCTGTTGACACGGGTGCTGCAACACGACGGGCTGGCTGGCGGCGAGTTCGGCGATTTTATTGTCAGCTCGAGGGGGATGCCGTTGTTAATGCCCCCTAAGGCAAAAGAAGTTGGAATGAGCCCGCCAAAATCATGTATTCTGACGACTAGCTAACCAATTAACGGGCAACCACAAATGCATGAGAGCCGAACCTTGAACAGCGCTTCCAACAAAAAGGAACAGGAAAAGGAAAAGATCACAGATGCAGTGTCTACGTAAATTAGCGCATCATGCCAGTTGATATCAGGGATGTCGGCATCGAGATCGTCGATATACAGGAGTCGCGATTCGCGAGTCGCGCCAGTTTCACAATATCAATTTTCAAATGTATATCTCAGCCATTCCCCAACTGCCCTCAGGCTTTCCCACCGGACGGATTCATCTCGGTCCGCCATCAGCTCCATCACCCGCGCCTTGAGACCAAGCTTTTCGAGTTGGTGGCGGCGTTCGGGGACCTCGCGCACCAAGCAGCCGACATCGTGACACCCAATGGCCAGAACCTGCTTGTCCGTATCCCAGTTCTTCGACAGGATTTCCGCAAGCTTCTTCGGCAGCTGGCCACGTTCTTCATCCAAGATGCGCCGCGCATTTTCCCGCCAGAACGTGGCGTTCTTGTGAGGCGGAGACCATCGGAGGTGGCCCGACATGACTTCTGCAGAGTACGTGTCAAAGGTGGTTTGTGTTTTGGTGTATTCATCAAGCATGTCGGATAGACCAGCCATGGCATCGAGGAGGTCTTCGTCGACATAGTGGCGAGCGGCCAGGGTGGTCAACAGGGCAGGGAGTCCGACGAACACGGCCACCGGCAGCAAACAAGCTTTGTTGGCGGAGAGGATATTGGAAAGAGTATACACAACCAACCGAGTCGTTTTTTCTTTCGGAGAGATGCGTAGGAGATGTGTATAGAGCGCGATTATTTCATTTTCCCTAATATCTGGTCAGCATGTCGAAAGGGAGGTCCCAAAACAAAACAGCAGGAGAAGCATACGATTCTAGTTGCTCGCCAACTAGCCCACCTTCAAAGCTGAGCTCCCATATCACAATAAGCACATGGTACAAAAGCTGGATACCCACCCCACCCCCAATCTTCATTTCAGCCGTTCGAATACTGCTTCCAGCCAGAGTCGTGGTTCCATTTTCTTTCCCGGATCCAGCGGCCGCGCGCAAAATGTCCATAAGCGGTTCGACCGTAGCCGTTCTCTGGTTCCAAAACAACTCTCTGGACCGGGTCGTTCTCAGAAGCTCTGAATATCCTTGTACACCAATGTCCTGTAAGCCGGTGTCCGCACTCTTCGTTAAAGTCGCAAGGTACGAGAAAAGCCTAGGTAGGGCTTCTTCATCCTTCGGGCTTGTTTTAGGGGAGGAGAGCAAAGAGGCGGAGATGAGATTCGTCAAGAAGGCGGAGGTTAGAAGTGGTATTGGGTCTTCGGAGTTGGTAGAGTGGTGAAGCAACGGGAGGAAATGCCGGTAGCTTCCTGAATCCGCAACCAACGCTTCCTTGAGAGCAGGGACATCTATACAAGATAAGGAGATTGTTTAGCCGAATCCACACATTTTGGGGTAGTCGGCCATGCAGCTTTCGCCAAGGTTGGCATCATACCATTGATCAAATCTCCAGCAAGTACTAAGACATATTGGATTATGTCGGTTCGTCTTGCGGCCGATTCGAGTATACTCTTCCCCGAGCTTCCACCAGTAAGGAGTGTCGTATAGGCGCTTAGATCCTTCTCAGCATTTTTCTGCCTTTGATCCTTCCGGACCTTATCTACTTCCTTGATGCGCTGGAGTTGTTCCTCGGTGATGCTCCCAGCTCGGACCGCGCCCTCCCATGGTATTGGTCGAGCGCGGATATTATTCTGTAAGGAGTTCAGGTACGTGGGAGAGTCTAAAGACATCGTCGACGAGAGGAAGAATAAGAGAGTAGGATCAGGTATTTGCAGCGCATAGGATCGTGAAGCAGTTGGTGAATTTCTGGCCTGCAGATGTTCATCTGATAGTTGCAGGTGAGCTCGTCTTCATGTTGGAAGCTTGTTCGTCGCTGGGGGCCTGACGGGCGCCAAGAGCGGCGTCTTGGCTGACAGACAGCAACGAGCAAGACGTGTGCCTGAGCAAAAGATCTTTCTGAAAGCGATGTATATTCCGCCGCCGAGGCTCTCGGAATTTCTCACCCAGGTGATCGAATATCCCGTTTAGTCGTGCGCTGAACTCGACGCCCATGTCGAGCAAAACCGTTCCTTCGGAGTCGGCGCAGCATCCTGAAGCAGAAGCTAATTTCGACGTCGCTCCCCTTCGAAGGGACCTTGCAAGAGATTCGATGAAAGCGGACGGCGGAGTAGCTCAATGACGACTGTCCTTAACTGATTAACACCTTCGAGGCAGCTACATTTTGCGGACAATGTCACAATTTCCGAAATCCTCGAAATGGTCGGTAGGCTCTTTTCTACAGCAGGCAGTTGCCGGAGTCGAATCGCGATTGGATACCATACTAGCCGAAAATGACGAAGAGACGCCTCCAAGAAACGAGGATAACACGGGGAGTCCAGCTGAGCAGCCCGCTCCCGGGATTGGAAAGTCATCCGCAAAACCCACCCCGGTTGGTAAGTCCATAGTCCCACGGTGTCTGTTCCGTTTTACCGATAGCTTACATCGCTAGGTATTTCGAGAAGCTCTTCTTCGTCCCGAACGAATGACCGCCTGCAAGAAAGGCTGGCCCGTGCTATGGTAAAACAAGGGGGCTCATCTACAAATGTAGCCGGCACTTCCTCGCCCACTGGCATAATATCCCGAACCCCAAGCCCTCTTCCTGTGACAGAGAGCCGCACGAGTGTGGATAGTACAGCAGGGAAGTCTGATATCTCTATGAAAACCGATGCACCATCGGATTCAGTAACCTTTACCCCTAGCACGCCTGCACAACGAACGTCACAGGAGATACTTGAACGGCTAAGGGAAACAGCTGGGTCAGAGTCAAGGCAATCCACGAGCTCAGACGCAACAACATTGTCAAACCCAATTACAGATGAATTTCATAATGGTCCTATCCCCGCGATCGGTGTCGTCGCCCCGCCCAGAGATGAAGGTAATGAGACCGTTGACACGGCCGTGTCACAATTACAAGCCGAACATAGTGCTGCTGAAGCACAATGGCAGCAAGAAATGCATACTTATATCGAGAAAATTGATGCTTTGCAGGCCAAGTTAAAGTATTTAGCAAAAGAAGCAGCAGAGTCGGCCAAGAATGCGGCTGCATCTGCGGCCCCTGGAAGCATAGAAAAAAAGCTATCCGAGAAAGATGAGCGTATCGCCGCTTTGATGGAAGAAGGTCAAAAATTGTCCAAGACAGAGTTAGAGCACCGCGCGACTATCAAGAAACTTCGGCAATATATTTCAGAAAGTACGAAATCACAGGCAGATACCAAAAGGCGCATGGAGAAAATGGAAAAGGACCTTTCAAATGCAGAGAACAAAGCCCAGCTATTCGAACAAGCAGAAAAACGCGCATTGTCCAAGTTGAATTCTCAGTCGAAAGCTGAGAAAGATCTGGAATCTGCAAACGCAGAACGAAGTGTTCTCAATGCAAAAATAGCAAATTTAAATCTTCAGCTAAGCAAAGCAGTTGCCAGAGCCGAGACTGCTGAACGAAAGATAAAATCAGAGTCGTCAGAAGCCGAAAGTCGCCGAGTGGCTGAACTTAAGGACGACCTTTCCAGTGCAAAGATCGAGCGTGAAATAAGCGAGGAAAAGTTGCGAAGGGAGATTCGAGATTTGAAGGAAAGTCTAGAAAGGGAAAAAGAGCGTGGGCGAGTGCAAGAAATGGAACTTCGGGGAGAAATATCTGTCATTGAAGGCAAAATGGAAACGCTTCGGGCTAGAGCTGAGGAAGCATCCTCAAACGCTACAGGAGATGCGCAAGCGAAGCTCCTAAGGCAAATTGAGCGACTGCAAACACAATACGCGGTTGCACGAGAAAATTGGAATGGCATCGAAAGTTCGCTGATGTCTCGATTGGCCAACGTCGAAAAAGAACGGGATGAGATTGCACGCAAGGAAGGCGACTTGCGACGAAAGGTCCGGGAAGCAGTAAGTTCATGTGCATGGCATTGAATTAGCAGAAGAAATACTGATGATGCCTGGTAGAACTTGAAATCGAAGCGCATTGAGGGCGAAGCTGAGAACTCTCGTGAAATTGTTCGAGAGATGGAAAGAGATTTGGAAGAAACGAGGCAAGAACTAAATAAATTAGCACAGAAACTTGCAAAAGCGGAAAACGATCTTCTCGAAGCGAAACAAGAATTTATCACCCAGAAAGAGCTCCAGGAAGCCACCTGGGCTCAAAGGCTCGAGGAAGAAAAGTCGAAATGGCACGAGCAGTTACAGGTGTCGCCTTCATACCTTCACCCACACAGCGAGTCGCCAATCGCCTTGTCCCGGAGATCCGATACTCTTGGAACCTTCCCCGACAGGCCTTCAAGCCGTCGATCTCCAGTCTTAACCCTTTTCCCACATGGGCAGAACACGCCACCTCGACAAAACTCATATTCTTCACTGAATTCGAATACTGGCCTTCGACACGGGTCCCACGATACTTCGTCGACCTCCTTGGAGATATCTTCAACACAAGTGCTCGAGCCGGAAGAGTACTTTGCTGGACCGATGAGCCCTCCAACTCCATCAGCCCCGGGAACTCACCATTCTAGGGGAATCAACGATATCGTCTCCGTTTCCACCGTTGCTGCCGGTCCCTCGGTACAGCTTGTTGAAAGAATGAGTGCTACAGTCCGTCGACTGGAAAGTGAACGAGCCGCGTCCAGAGATGAGTTGGTTTGTATCACTTCCCAAAGGGACGAAGCGCGGCAAGAAGTTGTCGAGTTGATGAAAGAAGTAGAGGATAAAAGAGCGTGCGATAAGCGAATACAAGAATTGGAAGCAGCCGTTCAGAGTTTGGACGAGAGATACCAAACCACGCTAGAGATGCTTGGTGAAAAAAGCGAACTGGTCGAGGAACAGAAGGCAGATATTGAAGATTTAAAGAAAATCTATCGGGAGCTTGTGGAGAGTACAATGAAGTGAAAGCTACGTAGATTCAAGAAAGTACAGTGGTCATGTATCATACTATTACATATCTCATTGAAATGGACCAATGGCCCCAGATCCTTCATTGCGGAGTCTTGACGCCGATCAAGAAAAAGAGATAAGTAGATTACTGATTAGGGTAGTTCAATTCCTTCCCGCTCGGCAGCTTGGAGGATGAATTTTCGAACCTGGGATAGCGAAAACAAGTTAGATGCCAGGTCGCACGCAAGAAGCCATCACGTACTTTGCTGTCGGGAGCCAGCTCAATGGCCAACCTCCCCTCACTATCCTTTTTATCCGCTTCCGCACCGGCGCGCAAGAGCACCAATGCGGCTTCGCCATGGCCTTCTGAGATTGCATGGTGCAATGCAGTTAGTCCGTCCATATCTGTTGCATTCAGGGGGCTTTTCCCTTCTTCCAACAGGAGGTTAAGAATCGGAACCGAGCCAATTGCTGCGGCACGGTGGAGGGCAAGCTGGCCGCGATTATCACGAACTCGGGCACTGCACTTATTGGCAAGGAGCGTGCGCACAATGTCTGTGTTCCCCTTAGACGTTGCGAAGTGCATTGCATTCTGTGTATGCCATTCAGCGCAAGGATATATTATATCGGCTTAAACGGAAAGTCGAGGGGCCTACCTGGCCTGTGACACTTTTAACATTCACATCTGCTCCTTTTTGCAAAAGGAGCTGGAGGATTGGATCGCCTTCACCCTCCTTAAGGCTGGCAGCAATCATGAGCGGCGTCCATCCCGAAGAATCCTAGACCACTATGGATTTAGTTGTTTTGTTTTTCCCCAATATATCTTCGATCAGCGGGGCAATAATGCCGAACGAACAGTAACATCAGGGTCGAAATCTTTCTGCGACACCAGCAATCGAGCTATAGGCAATTGATTGTACGCCGCTGCCCAGTGAACTGGCAGGCGTTCGTCACCGTCCTTTAGAGCCGCGAGTTTCGGGTTAGCCTATGCGAGGACGTACGTTAGCTATGATAAAATTCCTCCAAGGCCATTTGCACCAATATTGAAAGATAATCGGCGCTACCCACGTTGAGAAAGGACTCAACTTCAGCCACTGGTGGTTTGGTTAGATCGCAATGCTGCTTGCGGGGTGTGGAGAGATCTAATTACCCTTCCCTTCACGAGTAGCCTCGTGGATTGCAAATTTGGCGTGATAATCGGGATCCATGCGTACGTCTATCGTTGATATCTCAATTTAGGAGTAAAATGAAAGGAAGGTCCCATAAGTCTCCAGCGTCTATCAAGTGCTTGTTATGTAGAAACGCGGGGACACTTTTGATGTCAATCCGAAGCTGGTGCATTCTTGGCATCCCGACACGCAACAAGGTTTCTTGAGAGCTTTCACATCAGACCGGCCGAAGAATTTACAACGATTCGAGATTTGGGGAGAGCAACGTTCCAGACACGCCAACGGAATGCATGGAGCTTGATTGATTTTCTTCCTTCTTTTACCCAAGCTGATTGCCTTTTGCGCCGACGCGTTTCTTGCGCGGAAACTCTTACCTCTTGCATCTCTTACGAACTCACCCTTCTATTGTCGCCATGGACGTGCAAAATCCTATTACCCCGGATCAAGCCGTGCGAACCTCCGTAAAACGAACCATCGATCTCTTCGGCTCAGACTATCTACTATCCGCTCCTTCGACCTCCGCTGATGGTGATTCTATCGGTGTATCATACCGTCGAAAAGTAGAGTATAACGACGTCCAAACTCTCCCTCCATCCCTAGCGGAAAAACAAGCAAAGGCGACAGCTGCTGGTCGAATAAAGCGTCCAAAGACGCGGACAGAAGGGGGCGCGGCGTCTTCGACCGCCCTCGTCAAAAGTTCACCCTCAACCGGTGGGCAGAACAATGCGCCGACAAGTCTAGTTAGAAGACCAGCGGTGTCACAGCAACCAAAACCGGAATGGCATGCGCCGTGGAAATTGATGCGCGTTATTTCTGGCCATCTGGGATGGGTTCGAAGCTTAGCTGTGGAGCCGAATAATGAATGGTTTGCTAGCGGAGCTGGCGACAGAACGATCAAAATATGGGATTTGGCGACAGGGTCTCTTCGCCTTACTTTGACCGGACATATTTCTACCGTTCGTGGACTCGCCGTGTCCCCGCGCCATCCTTACCTTTTTTCCTGCGGCGAAGATAAGATGGTGAAATGTTGGGATTTGGAAACAAACAAGGTCATTCGGCATTATCACGGTCATCTTAGTGGAGTGTACACTCTATCTCTACACCCTACTTTAGATGTCCTTGTGACTGGAGGCCGAGATGGCGTTGCGAGGGTATGGGATATGCGATCCCGAAGCAACATCCACGTACTTTCCGGCCACAAGGGCACGGTAACGGATGTGAAATGTCAAGAGGCGGACCCGCAAGTCATATCTTCGTCGCTAGACGCTACTGTTCGATTATGGGATCTCGCTGCGGGTAAAGCCATGGGTGTCTTGACTCATCATAAGAAAGGTGTCCGAGCACTCGCTATCCACCCGAAAGAGTTCACGTTTGCGAGTGCTAGTGCAGGGAGCATCAAGCAATGGAAATGTCCCGAGGGCGCGTTTATGCAAAATTTCGAAGGACACAATGCTATAATCAATACGTTGTCCGTGAACGAGGATAATGTTTTATTCTCCGGTGGCGATAATGGGTCGATTTCGTTTTGGGATTGGAAGTCGGGTCATCGTTTCCAGACGTTGGAGACTACAGCCCAGCCAGGTTCGTTGGAGGCCGAAGCTGGACTTATGACTTCTACCTTTGACCGTACGGGTATGCGATTGATATGCGGCGAGGCGGACAAGACAATCAAGGTTTGGAAGCCAGATGACGAAGCTACCCCTGAAACGCACCCACTGGATTGGAAGCCTACCCTTGGAAGGCAAAGATATTGATAGGTTTTTGTGTCTGCATTTGGCGGCGTTTCTTAAGGGTTTGGCGTCCACGCTTCGCACTGGCGGGTCAATAATATGTCTGGAATCCGTGTTATTGATGTACCACTATAAAAATCTATTCCATCGCTGTGTGTCTACGAACAAACGATTATACACTTTTTTCTAATTCTCAAACCTAATCCCTAACATTTTGGCCTCTGCATCATCCCTAAACGCTGCCTTGACGTCTTCCGGCGAGATCCTCAACCTCACCCTTCCACTTCGATTTCCCTTGCCTAATGCATACCCCATGCCATACGCACTTTTGGCCCCTAATTCCCCGTCTAGTACCAAGATTCCCGCATTCATCAGCTCTACCGTGGCAAATCCCATGGCGTGAACACATGACTGTGAGAGTATATATTCCTTCAACGCCGCACTTGCAACGCCGGCAATGGCAACTGCGGCTTCTGATATACGTTTTGCTTCGTCCTGGATCTCACCAAGGGTAGATTCGGTGATTCCCGTACGCCAAACGCGGGCGAGGAGTCCAGAAAGGAAAACTTTGGCGGAGAGAGGGAGGCAGCGAAGGGATTGTTGGAGAGGCGTAGATGTTGCTTCTTGGATAGCTTGTTTGATCGTTGCGATCGTGACGCGAGGAAGGAGGGCTGGCTGCGGAGGCTTGTTGTTTTCCTTGCTTGGTGAGATTGGCAGCGATTCTTTCACTTTTTGTTGACCACGGCGCTTGGTGCTTTTGCTAGGCGTTGGCGGTAGATCTTCATCTACGTCTAGAGCGTGACTGTTGGCGTTGGCTTGAATAGATTGGCTCGTTTGCTCTGCGATTTCTACCGCCCGACGACATATGTCGAGTGCTCGACGTGCATCTCCGCTGACGGCTGCCACTTTCCGGCTGGCAAACTGAATCGCGTCGGAGTCCACGATGTTCCCTGGAACATTCTCCAGCCGCGAGCCAATGATTTCCATGAGTTCTTGATGCTTATACCCCGAGAATGTGATCCGAGTCAAGCCCAGGCGGCTTGATATCTTGTTGCTGAGTGTTCTTTCTGGCAGGTCCATAGTGTTCGCAACAGCCAGAACTACAAGGTGGGAGTGCCGGAGAGCCGGCCAGTTGAAAAAGTTATACATGACAGATTGGTTCTTTGTGACAAGTTGGTCCAATTCATCCATCAAGACAACACACGGTACTCGGCGTGGGGACGGCCTTGAGAATTCTCGCTCCAAAAGGCCTAGGGCATGAGACGGCGAGACACGATCTCCTTTCAGTGCTTCCCATAACAAGGAGTAAGACTGGTGTGGGTCCGTGACTTTCATCCCATTTATCTCGACGAAGATGAAATCATCCATCTCTTCAGACAGTACTGCCGCATTCAGGTGGGCGATAACGTCTCGTACAGTGGCGGTTTTCCCGGTGCCTGGAGGACCGGAGATATATATACACGTCCCAGTGCCTTCTGTGATTGCCACACGAAGGCTTTCATAAACAGTGTTGAATTCCGCATCTCGACAGGGGAGAGAATTAGGAACGGTGGAGACATGAAGGAGATTCCGGGCTTGCCTGTAAGGAGAGGAAAAATATGAAGGAGAGAGCACGCGCGTTCCAAGGGGTGTAAATTCAAGTGGCTTTTTAACGAGGATCCTGTTGCTAGAGTCAATATCTTCAAGGCTAACGATAAACGCGGAAGTCCTCAAATACCTTTTTTGAGTAGGGGTCATAAGAACCTTTCTGCGTTGTGACTGTGGGGTTCCTGCCACAGATGTAGTCTTCTGCTTTTTCTTCGGCGTCGTTGGAGCGGTGTTGTGGATTTGTGTCTGAGCGAAATGTATAAAGATCAACATCATCCCGTTTCGCAGCTACATGGATGACTTACATCAGGTTCATCCACTTTTCGCTTCCGCGTTCTCTTTAAGCCAGCTGTGATTGTCTCGATAAGAGCAAATATGCCTTGCTCATTCTCCTTGAAGACCTCTTCCCATACAAATTCTTCTGTGTATCGCCCTTGGAGCTGGTTTACGCCCCTTCGGCAAATTATACATTTATTATATTCGGCCAAAGCAGCCCGGCCCTTTGGGGGTTTGCCGTTAGGGTATTTAGCATAAAAGGCATCTTTGGAAAGCACGGTTGCCTTCCCATTAATAGAAGCTAAAGGGTTCACATTGAAATCAACAGTGATATACTGTTCATTTGGGAGGGCGTCGGAGCGTTTCTTTTTCCTCGTTGATAAAAACTCATCTGGTGATGCAAACCACATGATATTTGCAGCCTTCACTGGTCCTCGACCCAAGTTGTCTTCTTCATCGCTGTCTCTCTCCTCGAGGAATTCACAAATAATCCCAGCCCAGTCCTTCCCGGCTTCCGGAGATTTCAAGAGAACGGCTTGCCCCAGCCTGCATTCAAACGAACCCATTCGAGCCCCTATAACCTTTTTTGTACGAGCTATATTTGATAGCTTGCCTTTCTTTTTCCTTGGCGTATCGTCCTGAAGCTGCTCTGAATCATTGGTTGCAGTATCGGACTCATAAATCCATTCCCAAGGGAGGTCTTCACATCCAAGCTCATCATCAGAATCCTCATGAGAAATGCCCCCTTTCGTGAGCCATAGCTTGGCCAATTCCTGGGCTTTCGCTGGAGTAGTGGCCGATTTAGATGGCATCTTTATTAAGGATACCAAATCAATGCGAAGGCAGTGTATAAATCATCGTTTCTGCACGTCCAAGCAAAAGACGCGATATGAACGCGAATTCGAAACGCGTCGAAGATGGGTTTGCAGCGTTTGTTTCAACCACTCCATTTATGGCCTAGTGCAATGATAATGCCGCTAGCCCGTGTTTGGACTAGCGCCTGCGACTGCAAGGTTTCCTGAGCTCCAACTGCAAAGAAAAACAAACGGAGTCAAGACCTGAACACATCCCAGCCGTTGTGCGCAATCGACCGCTGTTGTCGAAGAAAAGCTGCTGCGATGAAAGCCATTTGAGAACCTCACCTGCCTGCCCACTCGCTAGTCCTGAAGCTTGCATTCGTTAACTACCACTCTCGAGGGTTTCGGAGCACACCACACTCGTCGATATTCTGATGACCTGACGATTATTCCGCTCGATCTCTTCGCCTCCGCCTTCGGTCAATTGCAACTGACTATCTTGCCCGCTTCTCGCCCTTTTATTGGCGCTTTCGCCATATCCCAACGCCATGTCTTTATTCGGCGCGCAGAAGCCTATGTTCGGATCCAGCTTAACAACCAGCCAGCCGCAACAGAGTGGAAACCTTTTAAATAGCTCACAGCAGCAAGGCACTTCACCATTTGGGGCCATAGGCGGACAAGCAAAACCGGGTGGGTTATTCAGTGGGTTTGGGCAACAGCAACAACAACAACCGCAAACTCAGCAACAAAGTGGCGGATTATTTTCTGGATTCGGCTCCAGCACGCAGCAACCACAGCAACAAGGTGGAGGCCTTTTTCCAGGGCTTAGTAGTTCAACCCAGCAACAACCACAACAACAAGGCGGTGGCCTGTTTTCCTTAGGGTCCCAGCCGCAACAAGCCCAGACGGGAGGTGGTCTCTTCCCTGGTCTTGGCTCCAGCACTCAACAACCGCAGCAGCAAACTGGTGGTCTATTCTCTGGGTTTGGCGCAACAACTCAACAGCAGCAGCAGCAGCAGCAGCAGCCTGGCGGTTTATTTTCGGGTTTTGGCTCAACGGCTCAGCAGCAGCCACAACAACCACAACAAACCGGCACTGGCCTGTTTCCCAATGTTGGCCAACAGCAACAACCATTTGGAACTACCCTCGGAGGAGCTGGACAGCAGCAAACACAACCCCAATTGGGCCAAACTTTGGGGCAAACTCAAGCCACCTGTTCGACTATATGGACGCCCGGCCAAGGAATGACTGGTGGTAAGTCATATGTCACCGCGAAAACCAAATATGGAGCTTACGGTTATTCCAGTCCATAGAACTGTTCCGATGCAAATGATGATCGTGAAAGATAAGTGGGATCCGGTTAATCGAACCTCTCCTTTCCGTGCGTACCTATACAATAACGTGGGCGAAGAGTCAGCACCTTTCTTCCAACCGAGTCCCAACGATGACGAAAACAAATGGGAGGATGCGCTACGTAAGCGACCTGGACCTGGCTACGTTCCAGTTCTTGTCAGGGGATTCTGGGAGCTCGGAAAGCGGGCTCAACGACAGAGAGATTTTTTAGCAATGATGCAGACAAGATTACACGAAATCAATACGGCGCTTACTGACCTTCTATCTCGTCATGATCTTAATATTTCGGTTAAGATTGCTGCATGTAGGAGGAAGCATCAAATGTTGAGCCAAAGATGCCTTGCGCTGGCAGCAAAGACCCAGTTGCTCAGAAACCGTGGGTATGCCATGGACGATGTAGAAGAAGAGCTGGCGAAGAAACTGCTCCAACTTGAACGGTCAATGTTTGACCCATCTCTAAATGGACGATCTGAGGAGATCTGGGCGAGAATGCTTGCGATTAGGGAGAATACGAAGCGATTGCAAATTGAACTCGAGCGCACAGGCGGAGGAACCGCGGAGCAGGAAGATGATACCTTGAGTGATACGCAGCTGAAGACAGCGAAGAAGGTATGATATTCGTTTACTTTTCAAAATGCGTTCTTGCTAATCAACATGGTAGATTCTTGATGACTACGCCTCGCAAATACAACATCTAAATAAAGAACTTGCTGCGCTTCAGAAGGATTACGAGACTCTCGAGCAAACTGCCGCAAGTTGATGATTTTAAGATAATAGTAATCACGTCCTCGGCGTAGTCTTTTGTCTCCTGCGAATGGTTGAGGACCTTTTTCACCCCTGGCGTTGGTGGTGCGTCCCAAGCGGTTGATTGGATTCGTTTGTCCGGTCTAAAAGTACAAGCAAGAGATTCTTTATACTGCTGGCCAGCGATTTACTGTACATGTCCACGGACGAAACCTGATACACCGAATTTCCCTGCGTTTAATCAATCCAAATGACGACTAGAAATCATGACCGATTTATTTCCCAGTAGAAGTATTCACATTTTGAAACCCAACCGGAAATTCATAACCTAAGCGGAAAACGTCGATGCGATCATGGTATGCCAATAGGCCGAATCGATTGCAACGGATTTTGGTACATCAGAACAATTTCCGGACGAAATTGATCGCAAAAGGTGCTATAGGGCGGCGATAATGAATCAGCAACGGCTCCTAACTTTAGCAGACGCAGGGTTTTCGCAACATACAGAGATATAGTAGGATGCTGCTTGCAACAACGTTGCGGACTGTTTTGCGGGTTTCAACTTCTCCAGCCTGCAGAAAGTAAGCGTTAATACTATGGGTCGTCTGGTAACCGGGGCGTCTTCAAGGAAATTCTTTATGAGCTTCGGGAGTATCTGACCTTGATCTCCTCTTTGGAGAGCTGTTCTTGACCTTTTAAGACAATGAGTGAATTGTTCCAAACTTTGTAGAGTGGAATGGTGAGGAAGTACCTGGCATAAACATGTTGGCTAGTGTAAAATGTAAATGTAACAGGTGAATAAAAATCGATCAAGACGAATAGCCTGTGCTTGAATTGAACATGAATCAGTCAGTAGGAGAGTTGGTGCTGTCATCGTCACTTTTTCACAATTCAAACAATAAAGTTTTGATGCAAACAGCACCTCCCTCTCAAACACATCTGCCAGCCCGGGAAACCTCACTTTCACCACACTCTCAACTCCCTTTTATGTCTGCTCACTTTTCACACAATCTCGATATTGCCACCCTTTGCCGTTGCTTTTCCATTTCTGAATAATAACCTCATATTTCCTTAGTTGTGCCTGTTCAGGCATTTCCTATCTACGCAACCGAGTCCTTCAGCTACTACACTCGTCCCCGGACGAATTCTCTTGTTCTTTTATCACTAGCGGCAAGATGTCTGCATCTACAGAACCCCAAGCGGAATCCCCTCTGGTCGATTCTCCCACTGTTGAGAACGAAGAGCCTGTGGCAAATGAGGTCATCTCGACGGACCATCTCGCTGCCGCAGATCTTTCAGACGACGAATCCGTTCTTTCCGATGTCGATGAAGCGCAGTTCGAAGGCTTCGATCCCACCAATATCGCCATCGATGATCGTCCGGCTCTCGCAATCGATGAAGAGAATTTAAAGTTAATCGGTCGCCATAAGCGCAGAAGAACGGATGAGGATGAGGATGCACAGCGCAAAAAAAAGAAGAAGGAGTCTAAACGTGAGAGAAAGAGTCGTAGAAAGCAAAGGGATAGCGATGATGCGTTTAGTGGAGGGGAAACATTGGAAGGCAAACGCTCAAGGAAGCGAAAGGACGGTAGAGAAAGGAGTTCTAAGGTGGTCGAGGAGGTGAACGAGGAGGATCTGGACCCGGCTACAAGTATGGTTAAACGGATGATATCCGAACTTGAGACAATGTGGCTAATCCGTGATATAAGGACGACGTCGTGCCTTGGACAGGGTTATGGACGAGGCGTTGAAGAAGCCGACTAAGCGCCGTGCAAGAAAGGCTGACGGAATCGTATGAAATTTTTGAATCATCAACTCGATGCTCGATGCTAACGGATTATTCTAGGATCTTGCTGATCAAGCAGATGCAGAAATCGAAGATGTTCGCCGACGGATGACTGATGCAGCTAGACTTGACAGCATTGCTCGCAGAGAGAATCGCCCTGCACAACACAAGTTGAAAATGCTTCCTGAAGTTTCATCGCTTTTGAATCGCAACCAATTCGTTAGTAGCTTGGTTGACCCAGAAATCAACCTTCTCGAAGCTGTCAAGTTTTTCCTTGAGCCCCTAGATGATGGTTCTTTACCAGCGTACGACATTCAGCGAGAGCTCTTTGCGGCATTGGCAAAACTTCCAATTACTAAAGATGCTTTGATCGCCAGTGGTATCGGCAAGGTTATCGTGTTCTATACCAAAAGCAAACGACCGCAGGTTGGAATTAAGCGCCAAGCGGAGCGACTGCTGGCGGAATGGACCCGCCCTATTTTGCAGAAGAGTGATGATTATTCCAAGAGAGTCTATGAGGAGGTTGATTTCGATCCAAGGTATGCATCATTGATCTTTTTCAATTTTTTTTTAAAATCCGAGCCTGACGTCGTTATTTTCGCAGCCAACTCGCTCTACGCCATCGACAGGTATCCGCCCAAGTTACCGCAGCTGAAGCTCGTGCAAGAGAATTGCTTCCTCCTCGTTTGGCAAATCGTGCTCGAGCCGAAGCTGGTTATACGACCTATACTGTTGTGCCCCGCTCCGTCATGGTCCAGGAAAATAAATTTGCTCGCCCCTTGGGTGCGAGTGGTGAGGATCGTTTCAGACGGATGAAAGCAAGACAGGTGGCAGCGAGCAAAGCGTCGAGGAGATAAGTTCTTGACATAACTGCGCGAAACTGTAGCAACCCTTATGCTTTACTTTACTTCATCTTCTTGCGGGTGACTAACCTGTCTCGTTCGCGTATTCGTGGAAATCAAGGTGATGTCGATGGGATAATTTACCCACTTCTCTACGTTTTATGTTTTCATTTCTTCGCAATGTCCTTGTCCCCTGGTTTTCCTTTGCTTTCGCTTCTATCATGATACCGATTCCTCGTTTCTCAATGGCGTACGGGTGAAATCCGGGCGGGGTATGGAGCAAGAGCGGCATGCGGGATAGCAACTTGAAGAATATTCAATTTGACAGTCATAGCTAATAAAGAATTCACTTGGCGTTGAACTGTTCAAGCCCGCAAATCTGCCGATAAGTATACCGCGGCCATTGTTTCAAATTTCGGTGCCGTCCAAATTTACCTTGTCATGCCCTTGGGAGAAGGAAGCCGTTCACTTTGGTCCGATACCTATCAAGGATATCCACACGGAAAAGGAAAAATACGATGAGGAACTTAGCTAGCGCTTCGAAAAGTGATCAAAGCACTCCCATATGCCTTATCCAACGCCGGACAAACGCGTAGCTATCATTGCGGACGTGGACTACTTTAGTCCAAAATCGCAAAAGCCGAAATAGCTTTGACCGGGAAGCAGTCCGTTCGAGACCGAGATTCGCTTAACCAGTGATTGGCCGGCCATGCGTTCGTTCAACCGTTTTACCCCTGTGATGATCTATGTGGCCCTCCTCGTGTACTCGCATCTTTGCTCAACGGTTAGTAGGTACAGGCCGCATCATCGACAGTTCACGCGAGAATGGAGCTCCGATAACTATGATATTGAATTAGCACAGCGTCATATCCTTGATCAATGTCGAGTATTCCTCTGCGCCGTGAAGCGCTTCTGCCGTCAACTTTTGGGAAAAGAGGGATTAGTTAGCTACTTGTCCACGTATCGTATGGACACTGGGTCAATGCTCATTCCGACTGCGAAAAGGTGCCGTCAGGCCGAGCACGAAAGCACGTCGTTATCCCACGGGAAAGGAACCTGCAGGCTGCATGAGATTGACAAGGGTGCATTTTCCTTTGCAACTTTCGGCATCTTATCTCTAGCTGAATGGCATGTCCCTATCGCCGAAGTTATGGGAAATTATGGACTTAATAAATAATATGACAATAATGAATCTGAATCACGTTCTTGAGAGCTGAACAAACCCGCAGATCGCGCAGAGGACACGATTTATTTGTGGGGTGCGGAATCTAGGCAAATCCTTCTCGGGCCAAACGGTTCTTCACATCTTAACCGGTTCCGCTGGCCCGAGTTGATTTACCGGGGAAAGGGGAAAGAAACCCGCTGTCGTGACGGGAAACAAGCTAGCCAAAGCAATTGAATCCTGGACCGCTAAAGCGGTTTTGATATTTGTCAAAATAGACATCACCAAGACACGGACATGCGGATAACGAGGACCACAACGGGATGGGAAGGGGAGCTGTTGAGCTAAACAGCCACGAAAGCCCTGCGGAGGCTGGAGGCCCGCGTGGCAACTAGCCGAAGTTTACTCGCCGAAGCCGAAGAGGTTGGGCCATCTTGGTTCCATGTTTCACCCAGAGAGCTTCTGGTTGTTCTAGCGATTGGAGCAATAATGGAGCCTCCTTTTGCGAGAATCCGGGGTTGAGTGGATATCTGGTTTCCCGGGGGGCAAGTTTGCTCTGGGGAAGATATTTGCGGGGAAACGGACAAGGGGATCATTCGTTCGTGAGGTCAGGAATCACTGATCAGGCTCCGGGCACTATAGACTCGCCCTCAAGGGAATTGTGAAAGAATGAGTTCTACGGCAAAAGCACGTTCAAAGAATAATCTCATGGAAATTTGATATCATCAGGTTTCAATTCAAAACCCTATCTAGTTCGTAGTAATTCATCTATGACCCAGTTTTCGTTCACAAATGGTATCTAAAACCCCTGTTTTCTTTATCCGTCACATCCTCGAATCCCTCTCGAGCCGCCTCAGCTTCATCTGTTGGCTGGGCTTGCCGATCTCGGCGTTTATTGTCCCAGAAACACAAGAGCAAGTAAGCTATCTGCACGAGTATTCCACCCGCATAGATCCCCAAAAGGCCCCTGAGTGCAGAAGTGTACCGTGGTGCCTCGCTCGGGAGAAACAGATGGGGCCCCGCGATATTTCCAGCACAATAGCAGATAAAGTATAATCCCATCACGGTGGACCGTTTCGTGTGGCCTGCCACATTCAGGGCCGGTAGGGTCCAGGTTAGAACGATGGGTGAGCCGACGATGGTCTGCAGCGACGCGCATCCCACGAGGGCATACCGGTGCTTCAACGGAGTGAGAAGGATACCGAGAAGCCCAGCCATTCCGGGGAGGCAAGAGATAATGATCGTTATACCCAAAAAGTTATGGATGGTCGAGATATAGCCGAACACGATACCCGTCACGAATTGAATGCCGCCGGAAGGAGTTTGGAGCAGACTAGCTTCCAGGCCTGAGAAGCCAAAACCTTTGATCAATGCGCTGAGGAAGTTGGTTACTCCACCGTTCAATGCCCCGTAGCATAGACCCATGAGCAGGCAGAGGTATGTTTTCACGTCGGTCAAGGCTTCTTTGACTTGGTAAACAAGGAATTCGGGATGTTGAATGCCGGTTTTGTTGCGTCGGATACGCCACACCGCAACGATGCGTTCGTATTCAGTGAGCATCTTCGCATTGTGTGGCCCATCTGGCATGAATAGAACAAGCACGATGCCCCAAGCAATCGTGATTGCTCCGACTACCTTTTAGAAAAGTCATGTTAGCCGCGTCTGCTTGAGGGGTGCTTCCACCAGGTAGGACATACAAGATAGATAAGCTTCCAGTTGGGAACAGCAAGATTATCGACATGGCCCAGACCATAACTAAGGAGAGCACCGATGATAGATGATATGCCGTTGGAAGAAAGCCAAAAGGATGTACGCAGAGGCTGCTCTTCACGCGTCCACAGAGTGGAAGAGAGTAGAAGCCAAGCCGGGGAGACACAGGCTTCCATCGCACCGAGGAAGAATCTGATAGCGAAAAATCCGGAGAAATCGAAAACTGCAGCTTGGAGCATGCACAGAGTGCCCCAAACAAAGAGCATGTAGCCCACGAATTTGCCAATGGGAAACCGTTGGAGGGCGAGGTTCGATGGGTAGGCACGACAGCCAGCCAAATATAGCGCGGAAGCGACCCAAGTATAGTCGTCGCCTGTCATATTCGTGTCCGCTTGCAAACCAAAGGCGTTGGAATAGTTGAGCCTTGATGACAGTTAGATGGGAGAGCTCCATTTCAGGGAGACCGCTTACGTCTGCTTGTCCAAGAAGCTCAACATATATGTAGTCATCATCATCGGAAGCACCATCAAATCCAGCTTCCATCGCACTTTGTCGACAGATTTTGCGAGTTCCTCCTGATCATACTGCAGAGACTGCTGGTAAAGCTCGAAGCCGATATCCGTGTGAATCGTATCGAGGTCAGCTTTGCCCTTGAAGGCCTCGCTGATCAGCTTGTTAAATCGCCCGCCATCTTGCCCTGTTTTCCCAGTATTGCTCTCAACTCGTTCTTCCTCGTAGACTTGAGGGTGATCCTCGGAGGAAATCTTCTCAGCCACCATGCTGGAAGGAACCGTTTGGAATAGAGACAAAGTCGGAACTTCAGACAAAGAAGGTATGAGTTGAAGGTGGATGGCGAGTCTCGAATGGAGAATGGGGCATGGGGAATGTGGATATGGGAATCATATATAGCAGGACGAAACTGAAGAGCGCCCAAGATAACCCTTGGGGATCTTCATTGAAGTCCCCATCTTCTGGCTGATACCCCAGAAATCCAGATGCGAGAAGATCAAGTAGGATGAAGCTGGAAATTCGGCCGATAGGAGCCAGATTGGACGATTCTACGGAACGCTTCCGCAGGAGCATGACGACGCACTTGGATTCGTATAAATGATAGTGCACTTGTTCAGTGATCGTTCAGGCCTTATCGCGCTGCTGCAAAGTTGCCAGGCTGCTTTTGGCTTGAGGCCTTGTGAAGGTGGAGATTTGGATTTCACGGGAAGCTTAATGGCCCCAGAGTTGTTCAACCGGGGAAAACAAACCTCCGCAAAGTGGATGGCCGGTTGAGCGCTATCCAGCAGTTGTAGAATCGATTAGACTCCTTTTCGAAACAGAGGTCAAGGCTAGGTTGGAGTCGATTATCATAGCGCCATCCCGTTAGGTGGATCCCTGGTAGTCAAAACAGCATTCCATGCTCGGCTCGAGCAGATGTAAGATCATTGGGAGATTATGCCGACTGGCAACATCATCCTAAGCTGGCAGAAATGCGCTCCATATCTGCTCGAGGTGCTCACATCATGGCCGACGAGAAGAGCTGTGATAGCATGGAGCCGCGCGACGATTCCGCCAGCTGCTGCGGCGAAGAGGAAGCACTGGATAATTGCCACACGGCAGACTTGACCTCTTGGAATTTCCAAGGACGCCGAAGAGATCATGAAGTTTGCGTACAAGTAGTCAAGATAAAGGATGCTGCACTCTGCCCGTAGAAGACGTTCAGTCCTACTGACAGCATCGTTATCTAAAACGCAACATTCCTTGATTCCCTAATTCAATTTATCTCTGTTTGCAGGATGGATAAGCCGGGAGCCCCAAAACATTCACAGCCCAAAAGCAAAGACGAAAGGCCAGCGACATGTAGTCCGTTACATGCAGGAAAGACTGAGCATGCATCGCAGCAAGAAGCCGCTGCTGCACCTGGAGGTGTAGTTCCCGTGTCATCAACAATACCAAGAAACGACCAGGAGAACCAGCTGGGGCCTCAGCTATCGCAACTAGACTCGCGCACCATAACGTTTCCCGAAGGCGGCCTCTCCGCTTGGCTCGTGGTTTTCTCGTCGTTTTGCCTGATAGCCGCAAGCTTCGGAGTGGCCACTTCGATGGGGATTTTCCAGTCTTACTGGCAGGTGCACCAGCTTTCGACCTATAGCTCGCAGACAATTGGATGGATCTCATCGGTTCAAGTATTCCTGACCCTTTCCCTCGGCGTCCAGGTTGGCCCGCTCTTCGATCGCTACGGGCCTAGATGGCTGACCTTCGCGGGGTCAGTGGGGTGCGTTGGCTATGTGCTGCTGCTGGGCCAGTGTACACAGTATTGGCATTTTATGTTGTGCTTTGGGGTGCTGGGAGGAACTAGCTGTGCTATCCTGACAACCGTCGCCCTTTCTGTGATATCCCATTGGTTTGAGGCGAGAAGAGCCATCGCCACTGGCGTGGCCTTTATGGGAACAAGTCTCGCCGGCATATCGTTTCCCTTGGCCCTGAATCCGATATTGGACACCTTCTCTTGGGCTTGGTCAATGAGGCTACTGGCTCTTCTCGTCTTCGTGCTTGTCTTGCTGGGAAATTTGTTCATTCGAGGGCGGCTCCCAACCGGAAAACAGAAGGGTGTTATTAGCTTGAACTGCTTTTTGGATCCAAGATTCGCCTGGGCTACTATTGGAATATCATGTATGTTAAGACGTTTGCCAGAAAGGTTGCTTGGGCATATACCTGATTACTTACCTTATAAAACAGGTTTCGAGTTTGTGCTCTACACGACATTCGGTCTTCTTCCTACCTATGCTCTTCAGCAAGGCTTTGGTCAACGGACGAGCTACAACTCGATTGCAGTGTTGAATGCGTTGGTATCCCCTCTCCAGCATTCACAAACTCAGCGCTAACATAAAACAAGTGGCTCTGCAATCGGTCGCTTCGCGGCCGGTTTCATCGCGGACCGCTATGGTCGGTATAATAGCATGATTCTGTCTATTTTGATCTCGATATTTGCGACGCTAGCGCTCTGGCTGCCAGTTGGCCATAACGTGACTCTGTTTTATGTCATGGTGCCAGTGTTTGGATTCGGTTCGGGAAGCGTCGTGAGCCTCTCCCCCGTATGCATTGGCCAGCTCTGCAAAGCGAGTGAGTACGGTCAATGGTTTGGCACCAGCTATAGCATGGTGGCTCTCGCGTGAGTACAGCGTCCAAAGCGATTATAAGGCAATGCTGACCACCAGCCCAGGACCTTAATCTCTATCCCAATTGCTGCCGAGCTTCAATCAAGAGCAGGAACAACAGCATTTGTTGCGTTCTCTGGTGGAATCCTGATCCTGGGCCCTCATCGCCATTGTGATCGCGAGATGGGCCTGCCTTTGGATATAGGTGGAGAGGACGAGCAAAAGTATGGAATCAGGCCACATGAGTGCTCGATGTTTAACGAGCTTGTGTAAAATATGTCATTTTCGAGACGAGAGGATGCACAGCCATGATTCCGAACCGGCTTTTTATTAGATCGGAGGGCAAGGGATCTGTGGGAGTAACTAAATTGGTTGGCTGGTAGATTTAGAGAGAGCTTGGAAACAGCACCGCTCTTAGGAGAAGGATAAAAGGCATGTCAACTAGATAGATACTCCATATAGAGTACATAACTAATTAGCATGAAAGCAGTCAAAATGTTTTGTTTCACGGTCTGAGCTTGGGATGACATCATCACAGCAGGTGGCGACCTAGCTCATTTAGGCTCGGGGGCTCAACTCGGTTGCTCTTAGGGCCGGT